AATGCTCTGTTTATAATAAACAGTATTAAATGTCCTGAATGTCCGAGAAATTTTCATAGAAAATATTCGTCCTTTGACAGGATTCGAACCTGGATCCTATACGGAACCGTCATTTAGCTTGACGTGCCTATCCTCTCGGCCATAAAGGATCGTTCGGTTGGCAAGGTCGAATTTACTGCTTATAAACTTCAATCTTCCATGATTCTCGTACATTCAACTGCTCATAACGAGAGCCGAAATCGAATTCACATCGTGTTCATTGTATTCATGAATGCACAAAAATCCTAAGGAAAAGTATAAGTCAATCTCCTCCCATATATGGGTTAAATACTAGGACGTTTTAACTAGAAAAATCATTGTTATTCTCAAAATATTGTTCAGTCGGGTTATTTGCATTCACTTACGCGCAAATATCCTTGAGAAAGCTCTGAATCCTCATCCCCTCTCCGGCTATGGGTTAAACAGTAGAGCATGTATCTGGAAAATTACTGTTATTCTCAAAATATTGTTAATGCAATATTCATTCGTAAAACACAAAAACATTATTATTACACTCCAAAATACGTTTCAGCATTAAGTTACCCTCAAAGTGTTGATAAGCCGTAAAAACAATTCAAGCTGGCCCTGAATCGATGGCAGTTTTACGATAACAATGGAAAAGTTTCAAATATGAGAGCTACAAAGCAAACACCCTTGTTCAGATATGGGGAAAATAAAATTAATTATATGAATAAGTTAATACATGATTTCGGGATGAAGTATAACTCGGCCGGAAGGTAGACAATTCCGTCCGCATTTTAGATAATGTTCAGTAACAATCCGGTTTTTAAGATGGTCTTCTGTTTGAAAACACCGATTACTGCAAGCCAGGGCTATCCAAACTTTTTTCAAGGATGGCCAGATTTGATGAGATGAATATTCGCGTGAGCCAACCATTCTGCTTGGCATTCTTTGAATCATGAAAATTAAATGCAAATGAACTATCTTTATGAAAATTTTTATTACAAATGGCATATTTTCATTTATTCACATGGATGACAAATTTAAAAAGGTCTTACCAAAATCACTCAGCCTATTATACATGAAGCCCATATAAGATGAAGTAAAATATGTCAGAAAAAAAAAAGAACTTCCTGGAAGCTATAACATATCTCAGGTTAATTTTATTACATATTATTGGTAATTAATATTTGTCAAGTTTTAAGGTAAAAAAAAAAAAACATGAATAGGAACATAACACCAACATTAATCATATTAAGAAATAAAAAAAACAAAGAAACATATGTCCAAGTGTCCAGATATATTTATAACTGATTTTGATGAACACAAAACAAATTTATTTCACTAAGATTTTAGAATTTACTCTTCTTAACTTTTAACTAATTATTAATTATTGATTACATTGGATATTTTTTATTTATTCATAAATCAATTATTGTTGATTATTATTATTAAAGTTACTTAGTTATGGTTATCTGTAGTTCATTACCGTATTTGACGGCATTAAAGGCGCACATTTTTTTACTAAGAATATCTTTTAAAATTCCCCTGCGTCTTATATGCCATATGTAGTTTTAAAATTCACCATAGCCGGACGAAATTACATGACGCATTATTTAACGACGATGATAGTAGTACTGAAAATGACTATCAGAGTTTTGTTAACAAAGATGACGAATTTTATGAATTTGAAGATGAATAAAATTTTAATGGTAACTGTAGTTTTGCTCAATTGTAATAATTGCTTGATTTTTAATTTTTTTTTTATACCTTTGGATATAATAAAGTTTTTATAGGCTCGTGTTCTTTTTTTCTTATTATTTTTCGTTTAATTCTAATCATGGCATGTTTAAACAAAATAATACCTAATAAATATAGCCTAGGTTGTACCATTTACTAATAATTTTACTAATTTCACTAATTACTAATTTTTCTTGATTTACCCTTCTGAAATTGGGGTACGTCTTATACACCTGCGCGTCTTATATGCCGTCAAATACGGCACACTATCTTATGAAAATTTTATTGCATATTTTCATTTCTTCACATGGATGACAAATTTAAAAAATGTCTTACCAAAATCACTCAGCCTGTTATACCTGAAGCCCATAGAAGATGAAGTAAAATATGTCTGAGAAAAAAAGGACTTCCTGGAAGCTATAACATATCTCAGGTTAATCTTATTACATATTATTGATAATTAATATTTGTCAACTTTTAAGGTAAAACCATGAATAGGAACATAACATTAACATTCATCTTATTAAGAAATAAAACAAAAACACGTGACACAAGTCCAGGTGTCCAAATATATTTAGAACTGATTTCGACCAACACAAAACAAATTTAATTCACTAAGATTTTAGAATTTATTCATCTCAGATGACCAAAACAAACAACTTGCCTGAACTAATCTGAAGAGTGATACTGAGATGTGAACTGCAGTATGTAGACCAACTCTGGTTCATAGGCAAGGATTTCAGAAATTGGCTGGAAAAGACAAAGGTCACTGTCAGAGGTCGACCATCTTTTGCTAAAACATGAAATTACATTTCTTAGGTTTATAATTGTTGTGGATTCCGAGATGAAATTCGGTCTCCAATGAATGACAAACGCAAGAAATAAAGATAAGAAATTAAATGTATTTACACAATAATACAATGGGTATATTGTTAGTAAATCCAGGAACGCGGTTAGTAGCAATAATATATAGATATATACAGTCTCGAAGTAGAACTTCCTTAGAGTCTATGTGCTAGTAACTGTGACTTCTACAAGCGGTTACCTCACACTATTACTCTACCTCCAACTCAATCACAATCTCTGCTCACTCTCTCCATATTCTGACTGACTCTGGGTATTTAACGGCAGCAGTCCCAGTAACACTCTGGTCGAGTCCACTTATATCAAAAAGGGGTGGACCCCATAGCAGTAATTTACATAGTCTAATTAACAATACTGATTGGCTATAAATGATGACAGTTGATGGGAGGCATAAGAAATTTGACCGCGGGCCGTAATTGGCCTTAGGGTTGGATTTTGGACATGACTGCTGTAAGCAACCTCCTACAATGCGAAATAGGTTTTGGCTTTAAATAACCTGCAAAAAATTGATAAGCCTTATAAAAATCAAATCCATCTGTAGTTACCAACGAAGACTTTGTGATTAAAAGAATTTATATTTCCTTTGACATTTTCTCGAGACTTCCATAAATATTTTATAAATTCATCAAATCAGATCGTTTTTATTTTGTACTGCATACGCATTTAGATTATTTAAATATTTAAATGTTTCAAATTAAAAACGGATGGAAGTTGTTGAATTGTTTGCTGAGTGAACGCAAAAAGACGAGACGAAAATGAATGATATATATTTGAATTTAAGAATTAACAAATTAAAAAAAGGAATAGAAACAAAAACATATGAAATAATATCTAGGAGTTAAATAACTAACTAAAATATATTCAGGAATAAAAAAAAAAGAAGATTTAAAAAATCGAGAAATGATAAAAAATATTTTAAAAAATAAAACAAGAACTAAAAAAAATAAGAACTAAAAAATATCAAGGAAGCAAGAATGAAAGAAATCCAAGGATTAGAAAAAAATCCAAGGATTAGAAAAAATCCAAGGATTAGAAAAAATCCAAGGATTAGAAAAAAATCCAAGGATGAGAAAAATCCAAGGATGAGAAAAATCCAAGGGTGAGAAAAATCCAAGGATGAGAAAAATCCAAAAATGAAAAAATTCCAAGGATGAGAAAAATCTAAGGACGAGAAAAATTCAAGGATTAGAAAAATCCAAGGGTGAGAAAATTCCAAGGAAGAGAAAAAATCCAAGGATGAGAAAAATCTAAGGATTAGAAAAAATCCAAAGATGAGAAAATTCCAAGGATTAGAAAAAAAAATGAGAAAATCCAAGGAGAGAAAAATCCAAAAATGAAAAAATTCCAAGGATGAGAAAAATCTAAGGACGAGAAAAATTCAAGGATTAGAAAAATCCAAGGGTAAGAAAAAACCAAGGATGAGAAAAAAAATTCAAGGATGAGAAAAAATATCCAAGGAAAGATCCAAGGATTAAGAAAAATCCTAAGATGGGAAAAATCCAATGATTAAGAAAAATCCAAGGATGAGAAAAATCCAAGTATTAGGAAAAATCTAAGGATGAGAAAAAATCCAAGGATTTTAAAAATAACCCAAGGTTTAGGAAAAATCCAAGAATTAGAAGAAATCCAAGAGTGAGAAAAGATCCAAGGATGATAAAATACGTCGGATTAGAAAAAATCCAAGGATTAGAAAAATTCAGGAATTAGAAAAAGACAAAAAAATTTTTTTTTTAATCCAAGACTTAATAGATAGCCAAGCATTAGAAAAATCTAAGAACTAAAAAGTAATATAAAATACAAGAATTTTCAAAAAATCCAAGAATCTTAAAAAAGTTAAAAAATCCAATTATTTAAAAAAACAAGTAAATGCGACAAAAAAGAAGAAAAAAATTAAAATGTTGAAAAAGTTAAACAAATAACTTAACGATTTTTTCATGTGACTGACAAGTAATGCAGTTCGATAATTACTGCAAACATTCATCACGTAAAAAACAAATGATAAGACTGCCTCATCGAACCTTGGCGATTAAAAGTGGTGTCTTTTTAATTGGCAGACAACATTTATTTACGAAAACGGAAAGTCGAGGAGAAAGTTAAAGGAAAAGATCAAATGTAAAATTAAAAAGGAAAGGAATTAACGAAGGTACGCAAGAAAGAAGGAACAAACGAAATAAGAAAAGAAAAATGAACAAAGAATAAAGAAAATAAACGAATGAATGAAAGAACGAAAGAAAACAAAGGAAAGAAGGAAGACGACAACGAAACACAAATAAAAGAAATAAAGAAAAGAAAAAGAAAAATAAAGAACGCAAGATAATCAGTAAGAAGAAAAAAGAATAATCAGAAATAATGGAGAAAGCCAACGTGCAAGAATGAAAAAAAGAAACCATGAAAACCGACGATAAAAAGAGAAAGGAAGCAAACAAGCAAGAAAGAATGAAAGAGAAAAAAGAAAGCAAGAAAGAAAGAATGAAAGAGAGAAAGGAAGCAAGAAAGAAAGAATGAAAGAGAGAAAGGAAGCAAGAAAGAAAGGAAGCATGCAAGAAAGAAAGAATAAAAGAGAAAGGAAGCAAGCAAGCAAGAAAGAATGAAAGAGAAAGGAAGCAAGCAAGCAAGAACAAATGAAAAAAAAGCAAGCAAGCAAGAAAGAATGAAAGAGAAACGAAGGAAGCAAGCAAGAACGAATGAAAGAGAGCAAGCAAGCAAGCAAAAAAGAATGAAATAGAAAGGAAGCAAGCAAGAAAGAAAGAATGAAAGAGAAAAAAGAAAGCAAGAAAGAATGAAAAGAAAGGAAGCAAGCAAGCAAGAACAAATGAAAAAAAAAGCAAGCAAGAAAGAATGAAAGAGAAACGAAGGAAGCAAGCAAGAATGAAAAAAAAAGCAAGCAAGCAAGCAAAAAAAGAATGAAATAGAAAGGAAGCAAGCAAGAAAGAAAGAATGAAAAAAAAAAAGAAAGCAAGAAAGAATGAAAAGAAAGGAAGAAAGCAAGAACAAATGAAAAAAAGAAAGCAAAAGAAAGAATGAAAGAGAAAAAGGAAGCAAGCAAGAAAGAATGAAAGAGAGAAGCAAGCAAGCAAAAAAAAGAATGAAAGAGAGAAAGCAAGCAAAAGCAAGCAAGCAAGAAAAGATTGAAAAAGAGAAAGCAAGCCAGAAAAGAAAGAATGAAAGAGAGAAAGCAAGCAAGCAAGAAAGAATGAAAGAGAAAGGAAGCAAGAAAGAATGAAAAAGAAAGCAAGCAAGCAAAAGAAAGAATGAAAAGAAAGGAAGGAAGCAAGAAAAGAATGAAAAGAGAAAGCAAGCAAGCAAGAAAGAATGAAAGAGAAAGGAAGGAAGCAAGAAAGAATGAAAGAGAAAGGAAGCAAGCAAGCAAGAACAAATGAAAAAAAAAGCAAGCAAGCAAGAAAGAATGAAAGAGAAAGAAGGAAGCAAGCAAGAACGAATGAAAGAGAGCAAGCAAGGAAGCAAGCAAGCAAGAAAGAATGAAAGAGAAAGCAAGCAAGGAAGCAAGCAAGCAAGAAAGATTGAAAGAGAAAGCAAGCCAGAAAGAAAGAATGAAAAGAGAGAAAGCAAGCAAGCAAGAAAGAATGAAAGAGAAAGGAAGGAAGCAAGAAAGAATGAAAAAGAGAAAGCAAGCAAGCAAGAAAGAATGAAAGAGAAAGGAAGGAAGCAAGAAAAGAATGAAAGAGAAAGGAAGCAAGCAAGCAAGAACAAATAAAAAAAAAAAGCAAGCAAGCAAGAAAGAATGAAAAGAAACGAAGGAAGCAAGCAAGAACGAATGAAAGAGAGCAAGCAAAGGAAGCAAGCAAGCAAGAAAAAAGAATGAAAGAGAGAAAGCAAGCAAGGAAGCAAGCAAGCAAGAAAGATTGAAAGAGAGAAAGCAAGCCAGAAAGAAAGAATGAAAGAGAGAAAGCAAGCAAGCAAGAAAGAATGAAAGAGAAAGGAAGGAAGCAAGAAAGAATGAAAGAGAGAAAGCAAGCAAGCAAGAAAGAATGAAAGAGAAAGGAAGGAAGCAAGAAAGAATGAAAGAGAAAGGAAGCAAGCAAGCAAGAACAAATGAAAAAAAAGCAAGCAAGCAAGAAAGAATGAAAGAGAAACGAAGGAAGCAAGCAAGAACGAATGAAAGAGAGCAAGCAAGGAAGCAAGCAAGCAAGAAAGAATGAAAGAGAGAAAGCAAGCAAGGAAGCAAGCAAGCAAGAAAGATTGAAAGAGAGAAAGCAAGCCAGAAAGAAAGAATGAAAGAGAGAAAGCAAGCAAGCAAGAAAGAATGAAAGAGAAAGGAAGGAAGCAAGAAAGAATGAAAGAGAGAAAGCAAGCAAGCAAGAAAGAATGAAAGAGAAAGGAAGGAAGCAAGAAAGAATGAAAAGAAAGGAAGCAAGCAAGCAAGAACAAATGAAAAAAAAAGCAAGCAAGCAAGAAAGAATGAAAGAGAAACAGAAGGAAGCAAGCAAGAACGAATGAAAGAGAGCAAGCAAGGAAGCAAGCAAGCAAGAAAGAATGAAAGAGAAAGCAAAGCAAGGAAGCAAGCAAGCAAGAAAGATTGAAAGAGAGAAAGCAAGCCAGAAAGAAAGAATGAAAGAGAGAAAGCAAGCAAGCAAGAAAGAATGAAAGAGAAAGGAAGGAAGAAAAGAAAGAATGAAAAGAGAAAGCAAGCAAGCAAGAAAGAATGAAAGAGAAAGGGAAGGAAGCAAGAAAGAATGAAAGAGAGAAAGCAAAGCAAGAAAGAATGAAAGAGAAAGGAAGGAAGCAAGAAAGAATGAAAGAGAAAGGAAGCAAGCAAGCAAGAACAAATGAAAAAAAAAAAGCAAGCAAGAAAGAATGAAAGAGAAACGAAGGAAGCAAGCAAGAACGAATGAAAGAGAGCAAGCAAGGAAGCAAACAAGCAAAAAAGAATGAAAGAGAGAAAGCAAAAGGAAGCAAGCAAGCAAGAAAGATTGAAAGAGAGAAAGCAAGCCAGAAAAAAAAAGAATGAAAGAAAAAAGCAAGCAAGCAAGAAAGAATGAAAAGAGAAAGGAAGGAAGCAAGAAAGAATGAAAGAGAAAGCAAGCAAGCAAGAAAGAATGAAAGAGAAAGGAAGGAAGCAAGAAAGAAGAAAAAGAAAAAAGGAAGCAAGCAAGCAAGAACAAATGAAAAAAAAAAGCAAGCAAGCAAGAAAAAATGAAAGAGAAAACGAAGGAAGCAAGCAAGAACGAATGAAAGAGAGCAAGCAAGGAAGCAAGCAAGCAAGAAAGAATGAAAGAGAGAAAGCAAGCAAGGAAGCAAGCAAGCAAGAAAGATTGAAAGAGAGAAAGCAAGCCAGAAAGAAAGAATGAAAGAGAGAAAGCAAGCAAGCAAGAAAGAATGAAAGAGAAAGGAAGGAAGCAAGAAAGAATGAAAGAGAAAGGAAGCAAGCAAGCAAGAAAGAATGAAAGAGAAAGGAAGGAAGCAAGAAAGAATGAAAGAGAAATCAAGCAAGCAAGAAAGAATGAAAGAGAAAGGAAGGAAGCAAGAAAGAATGAAAGAGAAAGCAAGCTAGCAAGAAAGAATGAAAGAGAAAGGAAGGAAGCAAGAAAGAATGAAAGAGAAAGGAAGGAAGCAAGAAAGAATGAAAGAGAAAGCAAGCTAGCAAGAAAGAATGAAAGAGAAAGGAAGGAAGCAAGAAAGAATGAAAGAGAAAGCAAGCTAGCAAGAAAGAATGAAAGAGAAAGGAAGGAAGCAAGAAAGAATGAAAGAGAAAGCAAGCTAGCAAGAAAGAATGAAAGAGAAAGGAAGGAAGCAAGAAAGAATGAAAGAGAAAGCAAGCAAGCAAGAAAGAATGAAAGAGAAAGGAAGGAAGCAAGAAAGAATGAAAGAGAAAGGAAAGGAAGCAAGAAAGAATGAAAAGAGAAAGCAAGCTAGCAAGAAAGAATGAAAGAGAAAGGAAGGAAGCAAGAAAGAATGAAAGAGAAATCAAACAAGCAAGAAAGAATGAAAGAGAAAGGAAGGAAGCAAAAAAAAGAATGAAAAGAAAGCAAGCTAGCAAGAAAGAATGAAAGAGAAAGGAAGGAAGCAAGAAAGAATGAAAGAGAAAGCAAGCTAGCAAGAAAGAATGAAAGAGAGAAAGCAAGAAAGGAAGCAAGCAAGCAGGAAAGAATGAAAGAGAGAAAGCAAGCCAGAAAGAAAAAATGAAAGAGAGAAAGCAAACAAGAAAGAAAGAATGAAAGAAATAACGCAAGCAAGAAAGAAAGAAATAAAGAAAGAAAAATACAGAAGTCATGAAAGAAAATTTATTAATATTTCAGAGATCGATAAAGAAACATACATACATAAAAAAAAAACGAAATTCCATTTCCATACAAAGCGTTTTTCAAAAGATAGTAGAATTCGACCATTTAATATAGGAGGATTGGCTGAAAAGTTCATAGGCTGACTATGAAGGATGCTAGAGCTGTGAAATCTTGCATGCATTAATTTCAACTCTCCTTATTAATAACTGTATTGTTTCTTTCCAGCTTCCCAATGACGGAGGGGGTGACCCCCATTGGATAGATAGAATATGTCGACATGTCGTATTGAAGTTCTTTTATCTCTGGTCTCAAAACTAGCGATCGCCGGCTATGAGAGGACCGGATGGGACCCACTCACACCAGTGGACTATGCAACATTTAGAAGTATGTATATGACCACTTTATTTTAAGTCTTCCAATATTATTTCTTATGTATAATAAAGAGTTTTCAAAACCCTTTATTCTATATTCAACACCATCTCTTGATAAGACACCAGAGGTGTTGAAACAAAATGGCGATTTTTGTAACGATTTTATAACATATTTATGTTATAATTTTCGAATAAATAATTATATTTGCTCTACTCTGTATTGGGCACTCTTTTAAGAATAGTATTTGTTGGTTATTGGAATTTATTCCGTATACACCAATCCTATACTTATATATATATATATATATATTCCAAAAACAATAACTCATTTCTAATAGCATTTTTCGGATACAACAATACATATATTTTCGTTGTCCTCTTATTACTGAGAGTAAAAACAAGAACAACATCTATTCCATACCTGAAGATGTCTGTAGGAACAGAGGAAAGCTTTAGTAAAAAAATAAGAACTAATGCAATAGAAATTTATAAAAACAAGGATCTTTTCATTCATAAACAGGTTCGTGGGTTTTTGTATATTATTTGAATTGTTCGCGACGATGGATTTCTCGCCAATTAAAACATTAACCTTTGTATTTGTTTTTTGTATGAATAATTCATGAATATATATATATATATATATATATATATATATATATATATATATATAGACATTGAGGCAAATCAGTTTCATGTTCAAAGGCAATCTTCAGGTCATTCATACGATCGAGCTCATTAGGTCAGGTGAAGAGCTCATTAGATCCATTGCCATGAAAGTGTTTATAGAAAAGAAAGTATGGATGCATGTAAGGGAGGTTTGAAAGTAACTGAAGTCGAGATGCCGTGTCACGACCGATAATATCACGGAATCTTCTTTGGGATTTTGACGAGAATCTGTAGATACATAGCGAGCGAACCAGGCCAGATATGGCAGCAATATTCAATGCATGAACGAATGGTAGACTTATAAATGTGCAAAATGGATTCTGGATTAGCAATTGATTCAATATAATCACGCCACGTCATGTTCGTATAAAACCAAGACGTCGCAATGAGTTCTTTTTTTTTTTTAATTTATTTCTGGAGTGATTTTCCAGAACTCATTAGTAGACTGGGATTTGCAGCCAAATCCTCCTGCTGTCAGCATCTGTGCCACAGCATAGATCGAATCCTGCTTGTCTCGCTGGAAACAAAACTAGGAAAGGTTCACCGTACATTAAAAAAAAAAAAAAAAAAAAAAGTAAAATAGAAAGTGAAATATCACTACGACGAGAATGGAAAATACGAATTATTTTTTTCTTAGTCATGGATCCCATGGAAATATGTGGGTGTAAAAAAATGGCAAAATCAAAAACAAGAAATGCGCATGCGCGAAATTAAAAAATGGTGACAATTTACACATCGCACCCTGTATATAACAATCCAATCGCACGTAATGAAAAAGACTTATGATTTTCGTGTCAAGTGACCATTGTGAGATCCACATACATTGCTGCAAGATAGCCTTTTTTTTCCCATTTCGTCCCAAGTAAGACAATAAAGTCACTAAGATGTAAAGATTTACTGAGCGTGAGAGAATAAGAGAAAAAGGAAGCACGTTTTAATATTAGGGCCGGATTATGACCCGTAGGGACCCTAAGCACTTAAAAGATTTTGGTGGCCCAATACATCTTTGTGTTAACTATGTTAGCATAGAGTCTCAGTGAGTCGTGCCAAGCAAGGACATTAGCCAAGAACGTACGTTGTGGAAACACTAGCTAGAAATAAATATAGAACGGAATCGAAGACATATCCGACCATCGAGTGAGGCTGATCATCAATTCCAACGCAGAACAAGACCAATGCCATGAGAACCCAGCCCAAAAGAACCAATATCAGTTGAGCAGCGAATGTGAAATGAACCATGCCCAAATTCTGACAGAACTGTGACCAGAATGGGTCGTGTAATCTACAGAGCAGCACGTTGCAGTATCACATACACATATGACCAGGATAATACCAAAGGAACAAGAGAGCAATCTACCCCTTGGATTGTTCACAAAAATGAAATACAATAAGGTTAATTAGTGATACTAGCTTATTCAAGCGGGGATATATGGTGTATTGAGTAGATACAAACATCATTATCTCCCTCAGACCATTCACTTATTAAGCAATCAGAATCGCAATAAAGATTCACCTTATCAGCTGTCTATCGGTTCGTAATGGCGCCCGGCGGATTCAAATGTTACTCGCGTTCGACTTACCTTAGATACAAGCGTTCCGACATACGAGTTTTTTTTTTTTGAGATACGAGCCGGAGTTGGGCCGATTTTTTTTTTTTTTGCTTTGAGATACAAGCAGAATTTTGAGATGAGTGCAAGTTTCAGTTAAGCATCCGAAGTACATGTGTTCATCTCTGTTCTGGATGCATATCTTTGTTGTGTCCCTTTTGTCGTTATTTTGCAAAATCACTTTAATGATACCATAAGTACGAAGAAAGTCATTTTTAAAGAGCAATGGTGATGTTTTATGGACCGGAAACAGATCGGATATATTCGAATTAATTTAAATGGGGAAAATTCTTTAGCGTTACGAGTTCAGTCTTGAAACGAATTAAACTCGTATCCCAAGGCATTACTGCATTTTCTTAGATGTGTCAACGTCATATCATAACAATTTCTGTGGTGTCTCACTTTCGCCTAGCGCTCTAAACACGTTCTTATTTTACTTAATGTTTAATCCAGGCCTGGTTAAGATTATATATTCTTCATTACAATTGGTTTCCATCAACGCAGCAGAGTTTTCGTCCTCGAGTTGATCGGTCGTCATTGAAGATTAAATGGTCTCATCTATCTTGGTTTGTGATCAGAGTATACCTTCTTCTTGGTTGACTGCGAGGCAAACCTAACGAACACCCAACCCCCCTAGGTAGTCGGAAGGCAGCGGGTGAAGAATCGGCTATAAGATTATCTCAGTTCCGTAAATATATATCGTTTAATCATTTCATCCAAGCAAGGGGATAATGCCACTAAGACGCAAAGTTTTACTGGGAGTGACAGAGAAGATTTTAGTAAGGAAATGTAGGTAAGTAAAGAAAAAATGAAAAAACAGGAACCAAAAATACAAAAGATGGCGATTGACATTTCATTTAATTTTTGAAGATCCTAGGTAGTAGGATTTGGTTTGGATTGTTTAACGGCATATCAACTTTTTATGGGTCATTTAATGCCGAAATTTAAGTTTCTTGGAACTTTGATAACTTTTTATTTTTTTATTTTTTTTTAACTATGTTGTAACTTAGGAAGGCTTACTGAGTGAGGAATAACCAAAACTGAGGTTGGGAATGAAATGGTAATCTTTATAACATCAATAAAATACAATACTCGCCAGCGGCATGAAGTAGGTAAACCACTGCTAATGGTGGACTACGTAGACAGCATATTAATCCCACTACGTGTCTAACGTATTTATGAGGATTTGGACATACCTATTTGTGTTCAAGGGCACGGTATATAACAAACTATTAAAATCTATTGCTGGAAATATTTACTATAAAAATGTATTTTTATACTTTCATAGCGTTTTGACCCTAATTTGGAGTTTCACTATTTGTTCATAGATGGGACCCTAATGTATTGCTGGTATTTTTTTACTAATAAAATGTATTTTTATACTTTCATAGTATTTGGAGGTTCACTATTTGCCCATAGCTGGGACCCTAACAGGTGCTATTATCTCGAGTTTGGGTGGACCTGAGACAACAGCAATTAAGAGGTGGTTCCACGCCCCTCAAAGCCTCCTGATCAGATGTCTTGCTGCCGGATGTAGTTTATCGTCATACCCAGGACTATAGTGGTAGGGAAGCAAGAAATCGGAGTTCTACAGGGGAGAAGTGCGGGAAACTTAAGAATAGAAATTAAGGTAACATCTAGCTATTTCAAGAGTAAAACGATGAGACCAAATTTCCAATCAAGTAGTGCGCTTCAGTTCATACGATAAAGGTATAGTGTTTATTAGAACAAGTGATATGAAAGTATTTATAGACAAAAAAGTGGGGAAGCCACGCCATGGCTTTGGGAAAAATGACTGAAGTCGAGATGCCAGGTTAGGACCGATAACATTGCACACCTTTCTATGGATTTTGACAAGAATCTCAAGATATATAGCGACCTCACTCGACTACCTAAGGTAGCAATGTTCAGTTCACGGACCAATGGTGAATTTATAAATGTTCAAGTTGGATTCTGGCAAAAAAAAAAAAAAAATGTCTCACATGATACGGCGAACCAAACTTCTTAGCAGAAGATCTCGTAATCTATATATATATATATATATATATATATATATATATATATATATATGTTGTGGTAGGATCCACCTAATTTGCATAGTGGAGTACCGACCATATAAATATGGTTGGTACCGGGAAAGGAAGGAATCAAGAGATTCAACTAGAGACTCTGCCCGACTGTGACTCAGTTAACACATTCTCCAGGAACGGTTTTACCAGGAATATACAAAAGACTATATGTAAATATTGTGTACACTTTCTTGTTTCAATACATTTTGTTCTAAGTACATTTTGTGTTGCATTATTATTCTATGCATTAGTCAAGTTTCAACAATATATATATATATATATATATATATATATATATATATACATATATATACATATATATATATATATATATATATATATATATATATATATATATATATAAAGTTGTAGTTGCTGTCTGTTTGTTTGTTATCGAACTCCTAGAGTTTTTGGAATAGACACCCCTAGCCATATATATTATGAAACTACATCAGCCAGGGTACTTGGATAAGTATATTTCATTTTGTTCAAAAAGATGGACCCGGGGAACAAAGTACTCCCACTGAAAATTTGTTTCCCTTTGATATAAATTAAATTTAAATTTGAACAAGGGTAAATGGATATTTCATTTTGATCAAAGGGGGTTCCTGTAGG